TAATTGTGAGAACTTAAATATTTAAAGCAGTATATGCCTAGCATAAGACCTAGAGAAATAACTTGCTACTGTTGCCACAACCACCACTTTCTGTGTATGGCATAGGAATTTCATCCTGGTAGCTTTTATCTTTGTGCGGCATATACTCCTTATGAATGAAAAGTGTTATAATGTATTCTTATCTGAGATTACAATAATTGTAGTATGATTGTTCATAAATATCTAGAAGAATGCATTAACTTTATCCGGCATTTGTGGAGGGCACTGGGTTGGAGGTCATGAGGATTATAACGAAGGGAGAACTATATTCAGCTCCTATTTCAGCTCTTGCCTCATTCGTTTATGTATTGCATAAACTCCAATCTATTCCTCTACTGTTTCTATTCTCCCTTATGCCAAGCACAGGGCCTGACAAAGGAGAAATGATGTCTGCCTGTGAATGAATGAGGAAGAGTAACTGGTTCAGACCGTTAAGTACTAATGACCAGTTGTCATCCCAGAATTCTGCCTGGCTCGTCCCATATCCTTTCAGAGGCAGGAGATATATCTGCACTGGTGGGGCTCAGTGGAGTGGAGGTCCTCTTAGGAGAGCTTTACAAAGGGATCAGAAGCACACAGCTATGCCTGTCAGTCTTTAAGTTGCATAAATTAGCTGATTTGTACAAATGCTGTATTCCCTTGGGATCCTGGTGTTTTAGTGTTTTTTTGCCAAGTGGCAAAAAAATGGATATTAAGTTGAACATTCTTTTTTATTGTTTATTGCTACTGGTATGATTGAGTAGATTGTTTTCACATGTTAGGAGGGAAATACACATTCCAAGGCTTTGATCTTTGTTCATTGTGGCCATATTTTCCAGAAGGTAGTTCTCTTTACCCATTGCTCATTTTTAGATGCTGTTGATTACAAACATATGATTGCCACCCCCAGTTTAACTTTTATCAAGGAAGCCAGCAGGGAGGGGCGTCTTGGTAGGCTGGGAAGAACTATTGAAACCTTATTAGAGTAAGTGGTTAGAAAAATAGCACGAGGGCTAGAAAACCAGAATGAGAACAGGTTGCATGATACTACATTGTATTGAGGGAAAACTTGTAAGAGTGTTTGGCAAGATAACAGGTACATGTCTGTAATCTTTTAATCTTTTTAGTTTTTAATGCTGAACTTTGCTCTAAGAGCATGACCTTCTTCCTTTTTTTAAAAGATTTATTTGTTTTTAAAGATTTTATTCATTTAAGAGCGAGAGAGAGAGCAAGCGAGCACAAGTTGGGTGAGAGGCAGAGGGAGAAGCAGACTCCCTGCTCAGCAGGGTACCTGATGTGGAACTTGATTCCAGGACTCTAGGATCATTGCCTGAGCCAAAGGCAGCTGCTTAACCAGCTGAGCCACCCAGCAGGCCACCCCCCCCTCCCCCCGTCCCGAAGAGATTTAGAACGATTGTTGAAACCTAGCAAGTTTTACTTATGGAGGGAGAGGTTCAAAGTTAAATTGTTTCATGCACTCAGATTACTTTTTTTTCCTTCTGTGATTGCTGCTGGGTTACAGTTAATTGTATATTTAAGTATGTAAGATATACTTACAGAGTATATTTAAGTTTTTCCATGAACAAAAGGGTGAATAACCTCATTAAATCTCATTTAAGAAAATTGTTCTGAGTTAAAATTCAGAAGCAATTATTTTTATAGATCACGTGTATGAGATTTCTTTCTCAACGTCAGAAAAGCCTTTTAAAAAAGTTATGATTATATGTTACTGTTTTTGATGTACCCTAGTATTCTAAAAATAATTATTTCATTATAAGGACTAAAAATCCTCTAAATCAGTGATCCCAGAGTTGACTACTCTGATGTGAATTGTTTTTACTTAAAATAAGGGAGTAAGGCGACAAGCAAATATGTTAAAATTAAGGCTTAAAACAGCAATCCTTCATTTGAATTGTTCTTTGTATTTGAAGTCTCTGTTCTGAAAGCCCAAGTGAGAAAGCTTATCTTGTCAAGCTTATTTCAAGCAGGTACTGTCTCACACAGGAAGGTCAGGCCCTGAGTATTTGCAAAGCAGACAAGGATTCAGATATTTTCTGGTCATTCTGCAAGATAGGGTCTCTGAGCTCACTGATGAAGTGACTGGCATGGACAAGGATGACAACTTCAGCTGTCGCCATGTACTGCGAAGATCAGGACCACTCCAACCCTAGCTCAGTGGTAGGCTAGAAGGGATTTTTTAGCTGGAACATCATGTGGGAGTTAGCATCTTAGTGTGGACCCCCCAAGGTGTTTTGCTGCTGAACTGACTTGTGCCAGAGAGTGCCCTCTCCTGGCCAATGCTGGTGTGCACACACCTCAAGTCTGTTCTCTCATAACCCAAGCTTCACCTTCTGTGAAGTCAGCAAGTTATCTGGAATACATTCATTATGAAATTTCAACTGCATTTTGGTCTTATTTTTAAAATTTTTTTGTAAATGGATTTAAAAGAACTCAAATGACTGCTCTACTTTCGTTAACTTGGTTTTTTCTACCATAGGTCTCAACAAATGGCAGCTATTACATCAGACAGTGACGAGTCCTGCTGCTCCCTTACAGTGTCTGACAGACCACTGTGGATTCAGACTGGGAGCGTTGAAGTTAACAGTGAGACGGGCAGGTCTGTCTGTGTTGAGCCCTGCCACAAAGTGAAGAGGGCATCATGTCATCACTTAATCATTCTGAAGTAGATGAGGCTAGACCTAAAAGAATTCATTAGTTCTTTTTCTGTAGTTTTCATTGACCTTGGTAGCTGGGTGTACCTCATGTAGGTGACAGTTGTAATGAGTGAAAATAACTTTCAACTGTGCTAAAAAGAAAAAAAATAGTAGAGCTAGCCTCCTGTGAGCTTCTGTGAAATGACAGTTTTTCCTAGGGTGCTGAAAGTTGGGTATCAGATTGTAGAACTATGTCAAATAGCAACTGCGTCTCCCTGGGAAGTCAGAGAGTGGATTTCTTTATCTTTTCACTATCTCAGTCTTTCTTTGTCGCTTTTATATCCACTTCTTAGTCATTCTTAATGTGTGTATATATAAGAATATATATATATCCATATATGAATATACATATATATTTTCTTAGTGAATTAACCTCAAAACCATTGTCATTTACATTAGAAAAGTCAAAACTCAGAGGGGCTGTAATTTTTTTCTTTAATAAAGTGCATTTATCGAGACCTCTTTGGATAGTGCCTTAAAGGCTTATTTTGGGCTCTTACACTGATGGAAAGGTTTAAGGATTTCTGTTGTGCTGCTTTTGAACTTATGATCTCTTTTTGCTTCCTTGAATTAAGCTATTTAACCCTGTGGTGTTTGCAGCTAGCGAAGAGCCACGATTGGGCCTTGACACGACACAGGAGCTGTAATTTGCAAGCTGGGTCAGAATGGCACAGTTGGGATCAGAGATTGAGGCTGGGAGATTCTGGACTCTGAGCTGTACTGTAGGGATGGTAGCTACCCTTATGATTTCTTGAGAGAATGGTGTTTTAGTTCTCTATACCTCTCACAGGAATAGTAAGACCTCCTTCAACCCTGGGCTTTCTTGTCCACTTGAATAGGCCTCACTAAGGTTGAAGCCAAATACGGAGTCATAAATAGAAAGAAATGGAATTATGTATGGGATTGGTTGTTAACCTTTTTTTTTTTTTTTTTTCAGTTTACTTCCAAAATTCTGTGTGGGTCTAAAGAGTATTATAATACTAGTTTTAAAAAGTAAATGTTTCTTAGTTTAATATCAAATTTAAAGGTGTTAAGCATTCTATTTCTTCAGAGGCAAAGACTATTCAGCTTCTTTTCTGATGTGTGGGGTATTTACAGCTAGCTATTGCATGAGAAAAACATGGCAGAATGCCCCGTTACTGTGTTTTATAGGCCTTGATCCAGTAAGTCAGGAAGGCAACCCAGGAAGCTAATAGAAGATCAAGAGTTCTAGCGAAGAATGGCAAAGACTTTTGAAATCTTTGGAAGTTAAATATCGGGAAGGACGGGGGTGGTTTTTCTTTTTCTGCATTCTGTGTTTATTTTGTCAGTTATTACTCCACTGAACACGCCACAGATCTTTGGTTTAAAAATACGTTTGACCAAAAAAATAATCATCATTCTCTCCACGATCACTTCTTTTGGAATTTAAACTCTTATTGGCACTTAGTTTACTGGGTCTGAGAGGCATTAACCAAGGATGATAGAGGATTGCAGTGGGGTTCTTACCACTTGGTATTAAAGGGAAGTCGATGATGCTGGGCAGAAATTCCGGTCATGCTATCTGGCAGTAATTTTTCTAAGCCTTGTCCTCTATAAATGTTTTGCTTAGTCTTCCTTCTTGTTGAAGGTATGGTAAAGAGAGCCTCTGTTCCTGATCTGGTGTGCTGGTGTAATAAGGGACAACATTGGTCAGTCTAGTGTACAGAAGTTGTCTTCAAGTAGCAACATGGTGCTCTGGATGCCTTCTGGTGTGTCTACCTTGGGGAAGGCACCCTCTATCCCCCCCCCCCCCCCCCGTTTGCTCTTTGTACATATGCAGACGGTACGGTCAGCAGCTGACCCGTGCCTGGCTTGGTTTCGTATGTGAATCGGCTTCAGCCTGCTTGGAAGGCCACTGGCGCTTCAGAGCGGCCCTTGGCAGTGGCGCGGACTTCCAGAGGTGAATGTGGGTGCCGGGGCGGAAGGGGGTGGGCAGCATAGAGACCCTCACTAGGCAAATCTTCATCAACAAGGATTTTTAAAAACCTCAAGTGCAGCTTGACTCTGTGAAGGTGACAACAGTTTTATGGTGGAATTTGGCCAGTTGTACTTTGGAAATAAAATGAATGCTTCTGCTGGTCTAGAGTCGAAGTAAATTGTCTTTTCAAATATTGGTTAAGTTTAGCTGATTTTAAGAAACAAGTGTGACCCCATAAATAGGGCTGAATTTAAAGAACGAGGACATCATTTTTCTCTTATTTACTTGTGCTTAACTACATTTTCTTCCTTTTCTTTACTGTATTTCAGCACAAAGACATTAGCAGGATGCTGGTTTCATGGACCGGTCCCATAATGACACCACACCAGAGCATCAGGACTGAATGACATTGGAGACTCAGATTTTTAAAGCTGCACTAAGAAGTTAATGTTAAGGCAGTGGTTAAAACCAACAGTCTATAAAGGGGCACTTGCAAATTTTGCTATATGAAACCGAAGAAAAGGTATTAGGGGAATATTTTATAAAAAAACTATTGCAATAAGTTATGCATGAGAGGAGGAAAAAAGTGATACGAAACACACAGAGAACTCACTTGAATCTTACTTATCAAGAATCACTGACCGTAACTTTTTCTGAATGTGAAGTTCTTTTCAGTACAGTTTAGACAGGCCTAAAAGGCATGGGATGATGACAGAGATGATGAATTATTTTTTAAACTAAAATTTTGTGCTTTCTCCAAGGTTTTGTTAATCCATTTAGATACGAGCAAAGGCATTTCTAAGATGGCTCTCCTGTGAACGCAGCAAGTGTCACAGCTGCCAGGCGAGGCCAAGGTCTCCTTCAGGGTACCAGTGGAAACAACAGGAAAGATTTTCTAACATCCTATTAAAGGATGGCGAAGTGCCCTGCCCCACCCCGCAGAGAATTTGGATCTTTTCTTTCTTCAATAAAACAGGGCTGTATTATCTTGAATATACGTTTGCTTGTTAGAACATATTAAGATGTATTTATTTGCCACCAGTATTTAACATTTTGTGCACATTTTCATAACTGCATTCTTACCTTTTAAATTCTGACTCAAAGTGGATAGGCTAGTGTTGACCTTAGAGTGAAAATATGTACTCTAAGAGCTAGTTCTTAATTCTACTGTGGTGGAAAGGCTTTTTTCCTGAATTTTGATGTGGACCTCTCTCATGGAGAGCCCTTCCTTCCAACTGCAAGATATCCTCCCAGGTGTCAGGTGGGACTTGACCCTGGGAACAAGCAGTAGGAACAGACCCATAAAGAGCTTTCATGCATGGAACATGAATTCTTATTAATGGAGACCATAATGTTTTTCTTGTCTTTGGAAAATACATATTATGAAAAACCTTAATTTTTCTTTTTAATGAATGGAAAAACTTTCATGAGGAAAACAGATGGACCTATTAGTACTACATTTTTAAGGCATTTTATATTTGATGGTGCAGTACTTTTAATAAAACTGAAGTTTTTTAGTGGCAATACGGATTTATTTTTTAAACCAGAAAGATAGACCATATTGACTACTTAATACGAAAAAGGGGGGGAAAATGCCAAAAAATAAAATATAAAATTCATTTGAAGCAACATAACAGATGACTGAGCATTTGGCTCAATTATCTGTTAACTTTCCATAATCTTACTGTATAGGTTTGATCCGCACTCAGGATTAAGAAAAGATTCTGAGTGAGAGCTGGAGAACATCTGATACACCTGACTAGGACTTGTTTTTACAACTCAAGAAGAAAAGGAAGACAGTCTTCTAGTGAGCTTAATACAATTCTAATTACACGGCAAGTAATTTAAAGTTTGGAGGACATCCAAAAGTCTTTTGGGAAATCTTCATGAAGTCATTATACACATTTGATCAAATCTGAAAAAGTCCGCTCAGGAACTGGAGCAGCAGGGAGCTCTAAAGATTACATGTAGCTCTGTGGCCCCTCTTCATGGCCCTAGGGCTTTGGCTGGAGTCCATCTTGTTCTTTCTGAGATCGAACACCAGCAGTACCTTTCAGGCTCACTTCAAGAATCATGTAACTCCACACCATGGTGACTGTACAATAACGAAGCTTTAGGATTCTTTGCGCAGTGATGGAAATGACTGAGAAATAAAAATACAAAGGCAAAACCTGATCTCTCCCAATTCTTTTAAGTTATCTAAATATTTTTTCTCATGACATAATTCTCAAAGGTGTTTTGTTATAAACCATGTTTTCGTTTTTTAATAAATGAAATTTGGTGGTATTTAAGATCTAGACATACCATGTTGCTGTTTCACTTTTCATTGCTTTAGTTGCTTAATATTTAAGCTTTGCTCCATGCCGCCTTTGTCTGTATTTCACATCTTCACAAGCCTATTTCATTTTGTAGACTTGAATGACAAAAGTTGTTTCTCATCTAAAGTATGCTAAGACTTAAATGTTAAAGAATGTTGTGTAACATTTATCCAATAAAGTCTTGATTTTTAAAAATTTAGTTATTTAAAAACTTTTGTTTACTTTTTAGGTGTTAGGTTTTAGAGCTTATTATTTTTTAACTATTAAGTTTCAGTCACTAGTTGTTCTTTAGGGAGCGGCTGTAAGTAACATTGCTTCCTTTGGAGAACAGCCTGTTTTTCTTTAATCCTTGGAAGATTTTTAGGGGACCCTCCACGATCAAGGAGTAGAGGAATGGTGAAGAGTCTTATTAGGATCTTGTGCACAACATGACTGTTTTCTGATGGAAACAGATATGCTACCCTTCAGAGCTGGATGTAATTGAGCAAATATCTATTGGTATGTTTGTTTCAATTTTTAAGATGTCCTTCCCTTACAGATAAATGGTTGCTTCTTTAAAAGCCCAGCATGTCCGATGTGTTTGACCAGAAACACTACTATCAGGAAAAAATGAGCCTCTTAAAACTTACCAGACAGCTGAGATTTTTTTTTAGACTGACCCCAAAACTTAACGTTAGTGTGCTTTCCCCGCACTGCACCCCCATTTGAGTAAAGCAGTCCTTTCGAAGGCTGCCTCTTACTCCAGAGTATACATGGAGTCTTTATTCTCTCAAACATTCTCCCGTTTCAGTTAATTTAAAATGAGTATAAAAAGGAGGCCATTGGGAGGTGCCTGGGTGGATCAGTGGGTTAAAGCCTCTGCCTTCGGCTCAGGTCATGATCTCAGGGTCCTGGGATCGAGCCCACATAGGGCTTTCTGCTCTGCCGGGAGCCTGCTTCCCCCTCCGTCTCTGCCTACCAGTGATCTCTGTCAGTCAAATAAATAAAATCTTAAAAAAAAAAAAAAAAAAAACAACCAAAAACCTCTGCTCTACTGTACCTGAAAGACAAAGAAAGCTGAGGATTTAAAAAAAAGGAGGCCATTGGAGTCTGGCTCTGTTAGTATCCTTTTCCCCCTCAGGCTTCCTAGTAATGAAAATGGAACTAGAGAGAACCAACGTAAATGATGTGCACATTATCCAGAAGGCCTCCACAGGACACCCACACTGCCCCAATATACTCCTGATCGTTGTTGCATGCGTGTGTCCCATGATGATAGACACACCTAACAGGAGAGGGAATGAGGGATGAGACCCATGGCTACAACTTGGGATCTTTGGTGCTATCTTCATGTAAGAAAATCTAAGTTTGGATTCATGCCCTGAAATCATGTATGGAATGTGTACCAGTACGTTCCTGGACTGTAGAAAAAAGTAAGCTGTTTTCCTTTTATACCCGATAACTCATTTCTCCTCTTTCAAGTAATGACCGATTCTTCCCTCAGTGCTTTGAACAGAGCATACTGTGTTACCTTTAAGCACACCTTTCTCTAGTGATGAACATCACAATGAGATTTCATGGTCTAACAACTCCTTTGGTGGTATCAAGAAGGTAATGAACCTGGAATGAAAGAATATGCTTCAGGAATACCGTGCCAGAGGAAGAAGGACCTGGCCAAACGTGGCTAGGTCACCGTACTTAAGAATACTTCGAGGATGAGCCCTGATTTCTTTGTGAGGCACATTTGTCCAGGCAACCTAACACAAAGGAAGCCAAGTTGAGCTGCTGATACTAAGAGCAGGATGTTCCTATACAAATGACCTGCTTCTACAGGCATGGATTCCAACCTAAGTTCTACCAGTCACCTTCCTGACAATCACACGGCCACACTGGCCCAAGCCAGGGAAGATGGAATTTTTGTACCGTAAGTGAAATGGTCTCATCTTCTGTTTCTGAATTCTGTCTATAAGCTCAGTGCCCAATTCCTGTGGCTCCTGAGTGGACAGCTCAGACCTGTGATCCAAAGAAGGTGAACGCTCGCAGCAGTGTGAAGTACCCTGAGTAAAGGCGTGCCTGCGGTGTCACTGCTCCAGAAAAGCACGGCCAGGGGCTTTAGTAAGACAAAGCAACCTTGCAGAAGACAGGGAGGGAGGGGATCCTGCACAGGTTTAAATGCAGCTTCTTTAACACCTGTGGAAAACTAGGCAGGCTGCAAACACTTTTGTAGCAGGAGCTGAAGCTCTAACTTTTGGTTTCTGATGCCAACTCTGCCAATGGCAAGGTCTCATCCTTGTCACACAGCCCCAGGAAAGCACCTGACCTTTCCTCCCACTGAACGTTATGAAGTAAAGTTGCAAACAGTGCGTTCTAATTTGGGGTAGTCAAACTATCCCTATAAAGTAATGTGGACTTGAGAGCAACTACCAGACACCATGCACTAAGGCCTACGTTCTTTAAAAATATAAACCATTCTCCCCACTTCACTCCATTTGCGGTCTTCCCGTTCCTGGCTTCCTTGAGGATTTCTGTCTTTAGTCTGTTTGAAGACTTGACTGTGTGTGGATTTCGGACTTGCCACGCTTGGGGAGTTGGAGGGCCCTGGGACGCTCAGGCAGTACGAGGTGGCAGTCTGGTGAGTCTAGGTGAAGTGCTTAAGGCAGAATTCCCACCTGGGTGCGCTGTATTAGCCAGCTAGAGCTCTAGGAGCTGGGATTGAATCATGGCTCTAAATCGTTAGCTATAGGCTTCCTTGGCAGCGGGAGAGCAGGCCGGGCCATGCTTTAGCTGAGAGGGAAATGTGAGCTTCCAAAGTTTCCCCTTGAGTGAGTGGGAAAAGAAGGTAGAGTCGTATTTCTAGTTCTGGCTGGTAGAACTTAACTCCTACGTGATGGAGCTGATTCCTAGTTTGTAGGCCTCAGAAGGTTAGAAAATTAGAAGATGGCAATATTCTTATTACAGAGTATTCCAAGCATTTTTTTTTTTTTAAAGATTTTATTTATTTGACAGAGATCACAAGTAGGCAGAGAAGCAGGCAGAGAGCGGAGGATGCAGGCTCCCTGCTGAGCAGAGAGCCCGATGCGGGGCTTGATCCCAGAACCCTGGGATCATGACCCGAGCCAAGGGCAGAGGCTTAATCCCGCTGAGCCACCCAGGCGCCCCTCCAAACATTTGTAAAGGCAGACTGGTAGAACCAACGAACCCCGTGTTATCCACCCCTAGCTTCACCAATGACCAGCCTGCAGCCAGGAAGACTGAAATGTTTAGTGCTCTGAAATATGAGGCCATCCTCAGAGTTGCCATAAACTCATGTCATTGGTTTCTCTGATCGTCCCTTGAAGGGTTTGAAGCAACTGTTCTGAGGCTCTGGGGTGATTTTAGCCCCACCTCTTGGGCTGGCTGGTGGCAAGTAATCCATTTCTCATTATCAGGAGCGTCAACGGGCTTGGTCTAGTGTGGATTCAGGGCAGCTCTTCACAGATAGAAGGAAGCAACCGGAAATTACCACCTCCCTTTTTGGTACAGTTCCCTGAAGGCACAGATTTCTTCGCTGGGCATATACTTCCTCCTTTAAAGGAAAGGAAGGTGACAGAAGGACTAGGCTTGTTACTACCGTGGCACAGAGGAGGCAGACAGAAAAGGAGCAGACCCATCTCACCAAAATTGCTCCAGGATTTTACTAGGGTTTAGGGGTATGTATCAAGCACACAGTACACACTGACAGAAGTATCAGAGAAGAGTTCAAGGCCGTAAGAAATAAGGGAGGGATGAGGTGAAAGGCAGGATCACAGACGCGATCACAGCAATAGGAGCATAGAACAAAGGTAAAACCGGGCTGGCAGTGACCCCTGGCTGCAGGCCCACAGGCTGCACCCAAAACACTGAGCGCCCACGGCTCAGTGCTGCCTTTCCGGCCCACAGTGAGCTTAAGGAAGAAGTCAGATACCAGAGTAAGAGTCACTGATTTTTCTGTCCTAGGTGGTTTCTCAGATTGGCACTCTGGTCTTAGAGGGTTTACTGGACCCTTCCCTTTGAAGATCTTTCTTAAGGAGATTAAAGCAGCCATTCACTTGCACAGCTGTTCCCTTCGTCCTTGGTCTCCTATCAATGCCTTCCTCTTTGACATTCCAACTTGGGCTAAACTGGAGTCCTAAAAGAAGGATTTGCCGGTCCGGTTAGCTCTTAGGATCAGACAGACAACCCTGGCAAGTGCATCTTCCCATCAGGTTTGCATTTAATACCTGCTGCCAGTTTCCCATCCCACGACAGTCTATTCAGACCG